GAAGATGACCTAATGTCAATTTCAAACAATATGAAGGACTAATTACAAAATAATTTAAGAACTTGATAAATAAATACAGCGCCTGAAAGGCAAAGTTATGATCTTGGACTTTGTAAAGTCTCAGAAAAATCTTGTTGACCCTTTGACTAAGGGATTATCTAGGAGTGTGGTTCTGGATTCATCGAGGGAGATTGGGTTAAGTCCATAAGAAAGGTCACTGACAGTGGTAACCCAACCCTTATTTGGAGACTTAGTCCAAATGTTGGTTTAATGTGGTAGAAACAAGCTGCACTAGTGACACTCGTGTGGAGCATCGACCCTGATATATTCATATATCACTATGTAGCTTGTGCTACTAGCCCTTCTCTATGATGACGATGCTCTTATGATACAGCTGGCTAGGCTGAGTTTTACTCTTAATAAGTCCAACGTGTGAATTATGGGGGGTATTAAATAAACAGTTATAGTACCCTTTGAGGACTTACCTACGTGAGAGAAACCGTGATGGCCGCGGTTGGGGGGCTGGGCTAACCCCTAAAAATTCTCATGAGTCGGTTTATTGTGAGCATGACCTTTAACGCTCAACCCGCTTTGCTCAATAGATGAAGACGTATTGTGTGTGTTTTTATTAATACCTGATTCAAGGGGCCTAATTCAAGGCCTAGTCCATTATATCCCTCAGGTGGGGATGAACTCACTAAGGAAAGGTTCAAAGCCGGAAGCTACCTCTCCCGAATTCACGATACGAAAGGTTACCCAACCTATATTTGTTTTATGATTTCTTGATTTATTTATTAATTTATAAGTTTTCAGTCAATATTGCCTTTTGGGGGGGACTGTTGGATATTTATTAAGAAAAGTCAATTTTGCCTTTGTGTTTTAGTCCCACATCGGAAAATTGAAAAGAATCCTCTCTCCCTCAACCCTATAAATACACCCTTATTCACATTCTAAAACATAAGAAAATAAAGTTTTTCTCCTCTCCTCTGGTTTAAAGAAAATTATTTTTCCCCTCTATAAATTTTGTTATTAATTTTTTGGGCAATCTTCTTCATCTGAGCTGAAGCTCTGTACTCTCGCCCGAGTACGGAGGCCGGCCGTTTCCGGGGGCTTTTACCGCTAGGGGGGGAAAGAACCATTTGCGCCAGGGCGATAGGCGGGTTCTCAATCTTCTAGGGCAGTGATTACACGACTGCTTCCGTCAGGCCTGATTTTCTTATCTCTTATTTATCTTATTTATTTTATTCGAATTTATCTGCATGCTATAACCTTTAAAGTTGGTAAATTTCCAACAAATAATCCTTCATACTTTCAGTTTTACTTCAATGGTGTGGAGAATGAGTTATAAAATTGAATGAGAATATTAGATAATGTAAATACGAGTAAAACTACAACTAAAAATTAATGTGAATATGAATCAAACCACAACTAAAAGTTTGATGGATATATTGTAAGTAAATTCATATGTAAAATTCCTTTACGAATTGAATGACCACCCATCTTTTGAATACTTCAAGATACTAATAAACAAAAATGTTGTGCTAGATCAATGTGTTTAGAACTCACAAATAGTAGGTCACGTGACGACACTCTGGGTTGAAGAAAACAATGATAATATTTTATTTGAAAGAGAGATTATTGAGTTGATGATTAATCTCGCAAAAAACTTTATTTTTTATTTTATTTTTATTCTATTTTTTTATCAATTTAAATAATCATGATATTTAACCACGTGCATTGCACGTGCATTTCTACTAGTATATATAAGTGGATAAAAAGTTTAGTGGACAAAGACCTTTTGTCCACTTAAGTTGACATAAGTTCACCTCCCACTATTTACCCATGTGAAGAAAATTACGGAAAGTTGAGGAGTGACTGTGTCTCATAAACATCTACACTTACAGAAATTTTTGTGCTGGAAGTATCTCTCTAAACCATTCTCTCCATAAGACCCGATCTCCAATGGAAGAAATCCCAGAATGTGAGATATTCCCAACAACTGGGTCGAATTCTTAATGGGCCGGGTTACAGATTTGGCCCATGAGGCCAAAACCACTTATAATTTTTTTGACTATTAAGTCTCAAAGGAACCATAACTAAAAGAGCAAGCTTTATGGAAGATTTCTACAAGTAATATAGAAATGTTGCATGAATTTAATTACAATAAAAGATCAAAATTTTAACCTTTACATACCTTTTTGGTGAAGCCAAGAGGAAGAACGATGAAGAACGCTTTTTGCCGCGAAGACGGCGGGGACTAGAATCGCCGCGAGCTTGAGGGAATCCTTTCACACGAGGACTAGAATTGTCACGAAAGTCGGTTGTGAGGATATCAATGGAAGGGGAGAGTCAGTTGTGAGGATAGGGGAAGAGTCTGAAGAGTTGGTTGTGAGGATAGGGGAAGAGTCAGCAATATTTCAGGCGTTGATCGAGCAATTATTGTTTTGAGAATCATTTTTTTGTCGTGGACCCCACCCTACATCATCTTCCGCTGTATTTCAGTGCATTCGAAGGTGAAAAAATATCAAGGAAATAGAGGCGCCAGCTAGATACCATGTCAGCTTTTAAAGAAGTAGCGGAAGTAGTTTTTACAGTGAAACAAACATAATTTTTTATGTGGAAGTAACAAAAATGACTTATACTTCATCTACTTCATAGCTATTTCCGTGCAAACAAACATGCACTTTATTGCAAAAATTTCCTTGAATCTCTAACAATACCCTCACTTAATCGTACCTAAAAAGCTTGCAAAGCATCAGCAAGAGAGGTCACATGCTTTGCATGTGAGATTAAGTGAGAATATTGCTGAATTTTTAGAAAATTTTTAGCAGCAAAGTGGAGTCAGGCGGTTGATTGGAAGAAAATTAATATTATAGATGGTTTAGATATAAATTGGATATATTACGTGGTTTATGTAAATTCACACTAATGTTGCAAACGCCTCTTCGGTTGCAACTTTTGACTTACGAAATTTACACTGCAAGTCGCATTTGCAACCTAGTTGCAATTAACCCAAATTAATATAAGTATTATATCTCAAAATCATTATTTAGAATTTCAAAAAAAAAAAAATCTAAGAACTTTAGTAAAGATTTAAATAATTTTGTAAAAAGTTTTATAATATGAGACAATATTATTTTTCAAAAAATATAAATTTTTTGAAACATATTATTTTGTTAGAAAATTTAGTTTTTAGAAATTTTTTTGGTAGAATATAATTTTTTTAAAAATATTTTTTCATAAAATAAAATTTCTCAAAATACTATTTTTAAACAATCATTTTTTGAGAAAAAATTACTTTCTCAAAATATTATTTTAAAATTAATATTATTGTTTAAAAAAATATTAATTTTAGAAAAAATTTACTTTTTTAGAGAAATGTATTGTTTGGCCAAAAATACTATTTTAAAAGCTATTAGTTTTTCTAAAAAAAAATTTTTTATTGAAAAACTGTATTATTTGTCCAAAATATAAATTTTCAAGAATATGTTTTTTAAATTGTATATTTTAAAAAATTCAAAAAACTATTATTTAAAATTTTAAAATATATAAATATACAAAATCTGCAAATAATAACTTTTACTTTAAAAAAAAATTAAGTTGCATATGTAAAGTTACAAACAGTAGTAAACATATTTATATAACTGCACTCTCATGAAAGAATACTTACTACTAGGGGTGTGCAACGGTCGGTTCGGTTCGGTTTTTACCAAAATTTAAACAACCGAACTGAACCGTCTATAATTCAAAACCGAACCGAACTGTTACAAGTCGGTTCGGTGCGGTTCGGTTCGGTTTGTTCGGTTCTAACTTCATCAAACTTCTTATCAAACAACAATTTGTGCTAAAGAAAAAAATATCAACAAAGTAGGAGATTATGAAGCATTAAACACTGATACAATGATATTGTTTTTAACCCATAATGATCCAGAAAATGAGTTTAGAGTTTGAGTCTTTGACTCTTTAGGGACGGGTCAGGTAGGGTTTGAGATCAGAATAGGTAGTATTGCACTATATTCGGTCAGTTCGGTTGAAATATTTCTCTACTCATAAAACCGATTTTTTCGGATCGGTTCGGTCGGTTTTTTCGGTTTGGACCGAACCATGCTCAGCCCTACTTACTACGTTTCACTCACAAGTGAAGTTACAATTGAAAAATGCTTAAATATACTAATCTGCTTATGCTACTTCGTTATTACTACTCATAAAAGTGTGGAGTCGTGATGACTCTGCATAAAAAATTATAGTGATGACTCACATTGACTTCACTCTTTAGTGAATGCTAATGACAAAGTAGTGGATTGGGATCCTTTACTAATGCATAGTGCCTTCTAATATCTCATAATGCATCTCCATCTTTTATTTTGTGCATAAGCACAAAATACGAGAATGTACTATGCAATGAAAGATAGAGATGTATTAGGAGATATTAAGGGAGTGTTTGTTTCAAATCATATAATTTTAGGATATGGATTTCACTATGGGATTTGAAATCCATAGGTAATTTATTATGAGTTGGGATTCCTAAAACTTTGTTTGTTTCAACAATATTTTTAAGATTTGGAATACTATAATTTATAATATATTTGTGTGTTTTAAACTTTTTGGAATTTGAAATCCTTAATTTGTCTAACACTTTTGAAATTCATCCCACATCCCACCTACAAAAGAGGATTTCACAAATCCTTAAATATAATATTTTTTTATTATATGGGGATTTGATATTCTAAAATTTATTTTGAAACAAACAAGTTTTATGGAATTCTAAAATTCAAAAAAACCCACTTTTTGATGCTAGAATTTAAAATCCCACCCAAATGATATATTTTTTTGAAACCAACACCGCCTAAAAGACGCTATGCCTTAGTAGAGGATACCATCGCAAAGGGAGATGAAAGCTGATGAAAGCTGACACTGAGACCCACTTTTTTACACTTTACATCCTTTTACACGGTAAAAACATACAACCAAACAGCCCCTTAGCACAGAGGGATTTCTGACAACTCGTTCTCTCTCTCCCTCTCTTCCTCTCTCTCTCTCTCTCAAATTCAACTCTCCGGAGAAAACCCCAAATTCAATTCTTTTTCATCTAAATTCTCATCAAAACCCTAAAAAAAAGGGCCCAAACCTAAAATTCTCCAATGGAAGCCCTCGTCTGCCAGAAGATCGGAGACCCAACCCTCCCGCTCTCCGACTCGTCCCCGATCACCATCTCCAAATCCCTCCCAATCCCCAATCTCAGCTCTCCGACCTCGGTTAGGGTTAGAATCCAAGCAACGAGCTTGAACTACGCCAATTACCTCCAGATCCTGGGCAGGTACCAGGAGAAACCCCCGTTACCGTTCGTACCCGGATCCGATTACTCCGGCGTCGTTGAAGCGGTTGGAAATGGGGTCGGCAGGTTTAGGGTCGGGGATAGGGTTTGCTCCTTTGCGTCTCTTGGATCGTACGCCGAGTTCATTGTTGCGGACGAGAAAGACCTGTGAGTGTTATTGGTGTAGTTTTCAATTTTCTGGTTTACTATATAGGGTTTTATTTTTCCCCCCTACAAACCACCTTAAAATGAGGTAATTACACGAAAACCACCTTAAAGTTGAAGTTGGTTTTTGTTGCAATCAACCGCCTCCCAGTCAAATTTGCACTAACAAACCAAAAATGAGCTTTTAAAAAAAAAATCCAAGTTCAAGGTAACACGAGTTGTATACTAACGAGAGCTAAACGCTAAAAGAATCAGTTGGGTTTTAGATGTGAGTTTTTTAAAGGAAAAGTTTAGGGTTTTAGTTAAATTTTGACTAGGAGGTAGTTGATTGCAACAAAAATTAACTTTAAAAATGGTTTATTTAAAATAAAAAATGAGAGATGGTTTTCGTATAATTACCCTATTTTAAAGATGATTCTAGGAAAACACCCTATTATTTAATAGAACTGAAATTGGGGAACTGGGTCACGATAAGTGTTGTCATTTGTGATGAATTATGGGTTTTAAGATTTTTTGTAGGAGATGTTTTCCTTGTTTTCAAACCATCATGTCTGTACTAATTAGGTATAAATCCATGTGGTTTAGTATAATTTTGTATACTTTTCGTGTAAAATGTTTAGTTTTTGTTGCCTTCTGTTTCTGGCAAGGAGTATACACTAATCGTGCCTTATCTGAGATCCTGGCGTGGCCTTTTTAGTTGTGATTCCATGGTAGTTGTTGCATGTTCGAATATTTTCAATTGACATAATATCAGATGAAAAAGAGCTAGAAATGGAAGTAAAATAAGATTGTTTTATATAAAAGTCTAGCAGCATAAGAACAAAGTGTCCAAACAATCTTCTGATCAGAGAAAGAAGATCACCATTATCAAATGCCTTACTTTTGAATGAAACTCAGCTACTCCTGCGACAGTGAGACAAAAGTATCAAAGTGTTAGAATCCTTGACACGCGCAGCTTTGGCCTTCCATTTCATGGGCCGAATCCTTGACACAGCTATTTTTAATCCGCATTCAATTTATGACTGGTGGAATGTAGTCTGTGTTTCACAAATACAATCTTAAAGTTCCTTCTACTACTCCAAACTGCGAAGTTGAGGGTTGAGAGTTTTAATTTATACTCCTAACATGTATTTTAACGCCCCGTGGTTTTAAATTACGAAAATGCATCAATTTTGTTGACTAATTCAACATACTTTGTGCTATAATTTGTGGAAATTTGTTAGGACATTATTGCTTTATAGTAATAAGAAGCGTACTTTAGAGTGTCTGTGGGAGATACATGTTTATGCTGTTATCTTGTATGATTTTGATTTTGCTCACCTATCATTGATGTTTAAGACAAGACATCCATAGTTTCCGTATACTATTGGCTCTCACTACTAATTTCTTTCCCTGCCATCGAGGCAGAAAAATGATTTTTGGTGCCAGATGGATGTGATCTAGTTGCAGCAGGAGCTCTACCTGTTGCATTTGGTACTTCACATGTAGCTCTTGTTCATAGGGCTCAACTGAAGCCTGGTCAGGTATGTCCTTCATAGCATGCTGAAAAATTCAACATGTGAAGATAATGACAATGTTTGTGGAGGTTTTGAGGGTGAGGATCTCTTTATATATGTGGGTATGGGATATGTATCAGATATAGGCACATCACTTCCTTTAAAGTATCAACTCTATGTAGATTGGAAGAGATTATGACATTTCTTGCCCATTCACTCTCCTTTGGTCTTATAAATTGATCACCTCTTGAAGAAGTGGTATTTAGCTTTCAAGTGTATCTATGGCGCACTCATTACAAGAAAAGAAGAAGGAATCTCTATGGCACAAAGATGGTGATCGAATTTTGTTTTCTAGCTTGCTTGACTGTTGTGGTTGCATATTTTGAGGTTCATGCCACCATTAATCGTATGTGAGATAGTATGGGATGTTAGATTTCTGCTGATTTAAGCAGCAGCTGTCAGTTATAAATCCAAATTTGTTTGTTCAGTTTAAGCCCGCTTATATAAAAACAAGAAACCAATTTTCTTAGGTATTTCTTATTTCATAAAAGCATATGTCATGTTTACCTACTGTCTCAGATCTGTCATTAGCCGCTTATGAAGACTATGAAATTGCAGGTATTGCTTGTTCTAGGTGCAGCTGGGGGTGTTGGACTTTCTGCTGTGCAGATAGGCAAAGTTTGTGGTGCAGTGGTCATTGCTGTTGCTAGGTATTTTCTTCATCTTCAAAATTGTGTATTTTGTCAATTTCAAGGAGTGGTTTGTTTCACAATTGTTATTATTTGATATGGTAAGATTTATTTTATTTTGAATCTCAGAGGAGCTGAAAAGGTACAGTTTCTCCGGTCCCTAGGTGTTGATCATGTTGTTGACTTAAGCAAGGGGAATGTTATAGAGAGTGTGAAGAATTTTCTCAAGGAGAGAAAGCTCAAAGGAGTAGATGTTCTGTATGATCCAGTTGGGGGCAAGCTTATGAAAGATAGCATGAAACTTCTAAACTGGGGTGCAAATATTCTGGTTATTGGATTTGCTAGCGGGGACGTACCAGTCATCCCAGCGAATATTGCTCTTGTTAAGGTAAGCCCTATGGACCAATCATCAATTGGTTATGTAGGTACAAATCTTGTTATTAACGCTTTTTAACCCGTTATCCTCATTGTTATCAATACCTTTTAGTTGATTTAGATACACAAATTTTCGCCATCAATTAGCAATTTGTCTTCATCCTGCATGATTGGAAGACGCTGGTCCGTCCACTAGTGAGTCTAAACTTTACTCATACTCCATAGCCATGCCGACTCTTTTTTGATAGAAAATTTGGAGGTGATGGAATAGGAAATTGCTCTAGCAAAATTCTAGATTAACTTATACTTCTGTTTATGTATTTTATAATAAAGTAATAGGATGTTATGTTTCATGAAAACGATTCATAGGGAGTATGGTTCCTGACTGACTTTAGTTAATATGTGTCAAAAATCTGCAGATGGTTATTCTCATATCGCTGATTTAGCTAGACCAATTTTCTATTTCATTGTGGCAGGGTTCAAACATATTTTGATTTATATTACATCACTATTTTGTATCTTGTGGTAGAACTCTAAATTCTTCTACGTTTTGTAGTGGTAGTGGATGACTATAATAATTGTGCTTGTATGTGTTTTAGAATTGGACGGTTCATGGACTATACTGGGGTAGTTACAAAATTCATCAGCCTCATATTCTTGAAGACTCGCTCAACGAACTACTCTCGTGGCTATCAAAGGGTTTAATAACCATCCAAATTTCTCATGCATACAGCATGTCTGAGGTTAGCAAACGATAATCATTTAGCATTTTCTGGCATCATATGTTTGCTTCTTTCTTTAGGTTATACTTTGAGTGAGGGCTGATTTGCCGTATTTTCCCTTTTCTTTTTGGTCTTTGAAGTATATTGTTTAGCTATGAGAAAACATATGTTTACGACATAATTGAATATTCTGGCATATCTATCTAGTATTCATTGCTTTCTATCAATGATAATTTTCTGTTTCAGGTTTATTTTATCTTTTCCATTGTTAGATTCAGTAGTTGTAGACTACAACATGGTTAATTACTTTGCCTAAACGGATTATCAAAAATAAAAGGTGCAATGTAATCCATCAAGAAATATCAGATTAAGATTTATTTAAAAGAAAAAAGATTGATATATGGATCCAGTGTATCATAACTGTATGTAGACATGGAAATATAGTTCTGTTGGGTTGTTGCAACTGAAATCAGCAGTACATTATCCAAGTAGATGTCGTTCCCCTCTAATCTGCACAAAGTAACTTTAAACCCTATGTTACTTGGGTACTTCTAACCTGAAGCCGCACCCGTACCCGACACATACCCATACCCAAACTCCTTGGACACTCCTCGCATGTATGCATACATTTACTCGGGCATATATGCAATCAAACAATACATGTTTTGATTTAAAACATTTGTCACACATTTTTTGGACATATATCCTACACTTCACATCCACTTCTTGAAACTCATTGGACATCGATGAGGCTCATATTTGCAAAAGAAGTTACCAAAAGATAGAGTAATGTATACAATTGACATCATCATTTTTCTCCCGGCACCTTATTTTGCTAAATGAGGTAGCAACTTTTATCCATTGTGCCGTAAGTTTCTCTGTATAACCTTCATCACTGTGCAGAGCAGTTCTTTGACTGGCTAGTTTTCTATACCACTGTTATTGTAGTTGAGAAAAATCAATCAGGATATATTAGTAATAATTATGGTTCACATTATTTGATTGCTTTGTTGACAGGCAAATCTTGCCTTTGCTGCTATCAAAGAAAGGAAAGTCATTGGAAAGGTGATGCTTGTGATGAATACTTCCGCGGGAGCGAGATCCAAACTCTGAGAATTATGATTAATTTGAGTGTTCTATAATGTCGCCAAGACAGACTATCATGTGTAACGTAACAATAATTTTCTCCGCAATAATGAAAATCCCCAGTGTATCTTATTGTGCTTCGCCTTACGCTCGGAAATATGACATAAACCTTTGTGTTCTTGAACAAGTATTGATTTGACCACATCCTTTTGGCCTCATCTTATTCATTGAAATCCATTGAAATTGAAATAGAGAGTAAGCAATAGATAACCGAACCACCTAATTGAAGAGAGGATCTGGATCCATGACATATTACATGTACTTGTTTAGGAAAACGAAGACATTATGTAGGTAGAATGATAAATATCAGTGTTGTGCACAGTTTCTTTCTTTGGGGGAATAAAAGTCATGCAAAGAGCACCCCATCACGAAAAAGGAGGAGCTTACTTGTGTCTTTGCATCAGTGTTAAAGTTCTTGCTTATATTGATTTATATATTGTTTCTATTCCTCCTTTCTTCTACATGATTTGATATATTATGATCTTTATATGATTTTTCCTTTATCCAGTCTTGTTCCCTTGGATTAGATGCTGAAAGAATACTATACTATAAAGGCTCGGAATCTTGGTAGCATTTGGACTCTCTGATACGCCTTTGTTAGTGTCAGTGTGGGGAGCTTTGCATGGGATATATCATTGTGAGATAAAATCGGTTTAATTGCAAACTTTGCATTTGTTGATTTATTTTAATTATTCTTTCAACATAACCCTATTAATCCTTTCAAATCAAACCTTTTGTTACTTCAAATTGCCATACTTTTATTCATGCTAGTTCCTACCATCTAGTCCAATAAAAAAAGATCAAAGGACGAATCTTCTAAAATCACTTAAAATATGAGAGATTTAGGATAAATGTACTGGTATGAAGTTTTATCTTATTATTATTATTATTATGAAAGTACATGTAATATGTCATGGGTAAATGTCTAGAGATATGTTCAGGCTTGTGATGTTTGTCAAAGAGCAAAAGGGGAAAATGTGGCAACTCCAGGACTCTTACAACCTTTACCTATACCAGAATATGTTTGGGAAGATGTATCAATAGATTTCATCACTAATCTGCCCAAGAGTGGAGCACATTCAGTCATATTTGTGGTGGTTGACAAGCTTTCAAAGTATGCCCATTTCGCCCACCCTTATACTGCTCAATCTGTGGCAAAAGTATTCTTCGAGGGAGTATTCAAACTCCATGGCATGCCTAGATCCATAGTCAGTTGCAGAGATCCAATATTCACCAATTTGTTCTGGAAAGAATTATTCAAATTACAAGGGAGTCAGCTAAAATTTAGCTTAACATATCACCCTCAGTCTGATGGGCAAACTGAAGTGACTAACAAAAATTTGGAGGGTTATTTGAGATGTTTTTGTTGTCATAAACCAAAAGAGTGGTGTAAATGGCTTCCTCTTGCTGAATTTTGGTATAATACTACTTGGAGAGTTCCTACAAACACCACTCCCTTTGAGGTTGTGTATGGTAGACCTCCTCCCTCCTTGCTCTCTTATATTCCTAAGAGTTGTGAAGTAGAATCAGTAGATGAAGCCCTCTTCTCTAGGGATGTAGCTTTACAGTTTTTGAAAGATAGTTTGAAGAAAGTAGCAGAACAAATGAAAAGGTTTGCAGACAAGAATAGGAGTTACAGGAGCTTTGAGGTTGGAGATTGTGTATTCCTTAAGCTTCAGCCCTACAAACAACTCAGTATTTCTTCTTCCAAGACCCATAAACTTTCCCCAAAATACTATGTACCTTACCAAATTTTGGAGAAGATAGGGGAGGTGGCTTACAGGTTAGATCTTCCAAGTCATGCACAGATTCATCCAGTCTTTCATGTTTCACAGCTCCAAAAAAGGATTGGTTCTGATGTTATACTTCAGACTGATTTTCCCAATTATGTTACTGAGTTGATTGATGAACTAGAGGAGATTATTGACAGGCGATCAGTTATCAAACGGAAGCGGTTGATTTCTCAAGTATTGGTTAAGTGGAAGCAGCGATATCTCCTGGATTCTACTTAGGAAAATTACTGGGATCTTGTCAAAAGATTCCTTACCTTTGACCTTGAGACAAGGTCCAATTTAAGGGGAAGGGATTTGTCAGGAACCAATGCGGATTCAGATGTTATTAGTTCTAACTGAGATGTTGTTAGTTCTAGCCGATATGTTGTTAGTTCTAACTTCTATCTTGTTAGTTCTAGTCGTTTCCTGTTTTGTTAGTTCTAGCCGATATGTTGTTAGTTCTAACTTCTATCTTGTTAGTTCTGGCCGTTTCCTGTTTTGTTAGTTTTAGTTGTGTGCTGTTGTGCACGTGCACCAACAGCAATTCATTGAGTCATGTATAAATTGAGAATTTGTACACGATCAAAAGGCAGCGAATGAATAAGAATCTCGTTTCTTCCTAAATTCTCTTTCTTTCTTCTCTCAACCGATTCTGTTTCTTCTTCCTATCTCCTCCTTGAGTCTGTGCAGGTTTCGCCATGGCCAGAAACAACACCACAATAGGGAATCGAGGTTTTAGAGCCTCACAGATTGGTTGAAGAAGGAGAGCAGGGTCGATGGGGGAGACGATGGAGCTGATGGTTTCGATAGCTTGTGGTTGGATCGAGAGGTTGGTTTTGGGCGAGCACGCGGTTGATGTAGTGGTGGGGCTTTTGAATGAGATGGAGTGCGTTGGGGTCGAGCCGGGGTTTAGTATGGTGGAAAAGGTGGTGAGTTCGTATTGGGAGAGGGGAAAGAAGGAGGTGGGTGTGGAGTTTGTGAAGAGTGTGATGAGGAGAGGGAGAGTTGGAGGGTATGCGATTGGTGAGGATGGGGGGATAAGGGACGAGGAGGGCTGGTTGGGTATCTTGCGTGGAAGATGATGGTAGTTTGCTTATGCATCGATTTAGATTCATTGCTGATCAGTTATCTTCCTTATTTTGAGCTTTGCAAAGTAAATTCCAAATATGATATGGACACAATTATTGATAGAAACAACAACAATAACAATCAATCGCAAATTTTTGGGTTACCTACATGAATCATATTCTTCTATTCATTTCTTAGACTATGTACTTCTAATCACTATAATATCCTCCTTGGTAGCTTCACCAAGTTGTCTTATGCCTACCTTTAGTGCTTCTATGTTCCATTAATTATTATTTACTTTTCATGATGCATGTGGTTTATGTGGCACCAGTGTTTGGAAATGCATTTTGAAATTCACTTAGAAACTTTTTGAATGATAATTGATTCAAAACTCATAACTGAAGCTATCCATCGGAATCTATGCCTCATCACTTAAAGCATACCTAAAGTGTGCGCGCCACAAACACCATGAAGCATTTCTCTTTTGAAGCGCACGTTTTAGACAACATAGGAGGATATAAAAGATTATTTGGCTAAAATTAAAATGCTCCTAGCTTTTTATTTTCTTTCCCCACCAGGATTTTTCCTTTAATAAGGAAATTTAACTTTAGGCTCATGTATCTTTTAGCATGAACATCTGACTAGAAATAAGATATGTATCTTATACACGTAGCTTAGTTTATTATAATTTGCGCTATACTTAGCGTATTTAATTCATATTTACTAATCATGACCTGAATGTAGTTATAGTAAATTTTTACATCACTACATGCTATATGTTTATAGCATTTAAAATTTTAAAATTATGTACTTAACTTTTAAGGCTTACGCCTCATGTTTTGAAGCTTACACCTTGCTTTATAAAATGGTCAACCACTTTGCTCAGTGTCTCCACTATTTTGAACATTGTGTTGCACATGATCAGACTATCCCAAATTCTTAATCAATTCTCTTTCATTTTATCCTTAATAGAAACAAATGTACTTATTTCTTACCTTATCGTTTAAGGTAAATCCACAAGTCTATCATATCATTCCTTTTCCTAAACACTTACTTTTTGCATATGTTCCTTTCGATTGTCATGTATTTTGATCCATAAAGCATTGTACTTATAATTGACTATAGAATTGTCCTTGTTGTGTTTATTTTTATTCCTAAGTTATTTGATTGCAGGAGCAAATCCCCAAGTAAAATATCTAGGATATTATATCAGAAGAAAAAAAAAATCAGGTTATGACGTATTATAGAAATTTTAGATTATGTAGCTCAACATAGCTCAAATGGAAAGAGCGACAATAATGATAAACAACAGAGCATTTCTTCCAAATCTTTTGGGTTGATTCATGAATTATATTCTTCGATTCTGTTCTGTTAAGGGTCATCTTCTCTATTAAATAAACCACTCATATTATTCTAATTTCATTCTAGCCAAGTTCTCTTAACCTACCTCCAGCCTCCTTGCTTAATTAAAATAAAGTATGTGAAAAGAAAATCATAACAGACGATCATATTAATGGTTGGATTGAGGGAGCATATCTTTGACACAACCTAAATTTTTTTCGACCTTCTTTGCGTGTTCTCTTTTACTTATGTGTCACAACACTTTACTTTGTAGGGAACAATGTTTTAAATATCGGTTGCCATGTCGGACATGGCGGCCGATATAGCGGTTTGATACCCTAACCGTCACGAAATCCTTAATTTTAATGCGTATTGTGTTTTTGAGGTCATGCCGGCGACATGTCGGAAAAAATCGGGTATGTCGGGCGCCATTGTGGCCAAGAAAAATCGGCCAAATTTTAGAAAAATAGGTTTTAAGCTTATTGAGTCAAGTTTGAAAAACCCGACCCGACCCAATAAGCTCATTTAACTTTTCCTTAGGGTTTTTTTTGCCCAAGTCAGCCGCTCCTCAAACTCAAAGTCGGCTGCTCCTTTTCTTTGCTCCTTCTCCGCTTGGAGTCACCCAGTTTAGCCCGACAGACGACGCCGGACGACGCCGAACGACGACGCCGGCACGCCGCCGACTCCTTCGCCTCCGGATCCGCCGCCTACCGACTCCTCAAACTCAGCTTTTTTTTTTAAGTTTTTTTTTCTTGTTTTCTTCTTTTTTTTGAAAATAATTTCTTTTCCCTTCTTTTTTTGCACTGAGATTATCTATTTATGAGTTGAGTTTTCTTCAAACTCAAAGTCGGCTGCACTGAGATTATCTATTTATGAGTTGAGTTTTCTTCAAACTCAAAG